TTTCCGATAGGTCATTCCAATATTTACCTTGTCGCGGTCTCTGTAATGAACTTCGTACACAACATATAACATTTCTTCAGGGTTATTATTGAGCATGTACTTTCAAATAAAATGTCGCCCAAGATGTTGCGAATGCCTGCAGAAAGGAAGGTTAAGCAACTGTTTCTTGCCAAACCGACCGGTAGAAGACCCAGGAGACGGCCAAGATTAACCCGGTGCAAATATACGGAAGGAGTCTCTTCCAGACTTCTGTTGTGTTCTGTCGAAGCTCAGAATCTGGCATAGGGTCGAGAGCATTGGAAGGTCTCTCAGACATGTCTGTCTATGCGACACGAAAGGAGATATGTTATGGAAGAAGAAAACTCCGCCCAATGTTTTGCCAGTCTTGTAGTAGATCCGAAACACCACGTCATTAAGGTACCTCGTGATACGTTGAGATAAGTGACCAATGGACCACATGAACTGGCGAAAACAAGGTCGCCGGTAAACAGCAACCTTTTCGTCTTCACATCTCTTATCGCTGAAATATTCATCGGCTGTGTGGCCTGACAATCATACCAAGACGCTACAGAAACAGCCACAACGGAAACATTAAAAGGTCTCGACTTAGTGCCATTTACTCTGATGCAGCACCTATCAGCAAATAGTGATTGGATGGCCCATAGAAACTGACCATCAATCCCATATGTTTGCAGGCACGCTCGAAGACTGTTGCACGGGATCCGGACCTAGGCATTTTCTAGGCACATAAAGCACATGTAAACCCAATGAGCAAACTCTAACAGTTTCAGAACAACCTGGTGTAAGGTGAAGATCATGTCAGAGGTAGTTCGGGATGACCTGAAGCCACACTGTCAATGTGGGATATCCTAGAGTTAACTATTTTACGAAAACTCCATCCCAACACCTCTGAGTGAACTTTTCCTGGGACGCTCAATAAAGTAATGTCCTGATAATCTGAGTAGTCCTATGCTCTCCCTTCTTAAACAAGGGTACTACCACCTCACTTATCTCACCAACTGGTGTCTTTATCGTAGTCATTCCAGATTAACCGACAAGTGTTAGCCACAATATGCACTGTAAAGCTTTTAGCATCCCAGGTCATATTTTATCCATCGCAATCGCCTTGCTGTTCTTCAAGCCCTTCACAACTTTGATAATTTTATCTACTGAAACACTAATATTCGTTGCCTTCTGCTCTTCACCTAAGCCTTCCTGTTGCTCGGAATTAAGCTGTTCCGCAAAGTACTCTCGCCTCGCTTAAGTACATCCTCTTCCTTGATAAGACGTCCGGCCTTGTCCTTCAGGACTCATACTCGAATATGATTGAAAGGTAACCTATGCGCCACAGTTTACGCTGAAAAGTTGGCCCGCTTGTAATTCTGCCATACATAACCAAGGTATCTAAGTTGGCAAAGAAGTACCTGAACGGCATAGGGTTCACGGTCTACAACAGGACTGTAACAACGCTTGGTAAGCTCCCGCATAATAAACACCACGGCAATCCAGAAGAAGAGCTAAACGTCATCTAGAAAGTACGACAGTGCGACCTGCGATACGATCCACAACGGGAAACCCTGCGGAAGTTGAATGTTTTGATCAAAGAACACTTATATGCAGTTCATCTTTGGCAACGTGATAACACTAGTACTGCCCAATACACCAACCCCGGGAGAAGGACATTCTATCAGTCAGGCCGGTGTTTCCGTAATCGACTGAGACGACTCAAAGTTTAGTCTTCTGATTCCATATCTTGGTACAGAAAAGTCGTACGTGCAAATAAATACTCAATAACTACTCATTTTTAAATGTAATACGCTAAAGCTCGGGTGTTATCATGAAGTTAATACCATTTAGAGTGACACCGTAAGTGATCTAGATATGTAATTCACGCTTTGTAGTGTTAACAGTTGTTCAGCGTTTCGTTCTGTTTTTCTCACACATATCCCTTTTCGCATTTATAAAATGGTTTGATGGTAGTCTTTCTCACACGTGCCCTGATGAAACTGCTGGTGCTGCAGCGAAGTGCATAGGCAATGAAAAGTTGCAACAATTGTATCTCAAATTCGTCACTATTCATTAATTCATACAATGTGCCCGACACTGAGAATGTGAATTAAGCACATGAAATGCTTTTACTATAAAACTTGGCGCAAAACACTTACTACAATGTATGAAATAGGATTGCTAAGCTCGGAACATGAGGAAGATGATGAAATGCTGCTCTAAATTAAAACAAAAGTTTTATCGGCAAAACAAAAGAAACCACCAACTTGAATATCTCCTGAGGTTGGCTGCAGCGCATCTTCCAAACCAGGATCTGCTTCAAAAATTCTGGTCGCTTCCTTAACAGACGACCTCGAATCAGTCTGCATGGTTAGAACTACAATCTGTCCGTCGCAAGAGACATGACTGTCGTCTAGGGTAATTCTTTGACTGCTTTGATCATCGAGCTTCGTATCTAATGAATATTCTGATGTTCTATTGATATAAGCTACTAACAATACCAAAGTAGAAAATTACAAATGATTTTTCCCCATCTGGAGGTTAGACAAAGGTGGAAATCGCGGTTAAAACAACTCATAACAACTTATAAACTTACGGCAAGCGTGACAAAACAAAATGAGAGGAAGATGCTACACATAGCTTAATTTACAGCCTCAGGCAG